ATGAATATAATCTGCAACAATGGATATTATTCAAAATCGAAAGGCTAATATGTTATAACCATGCAACATAACATCTATCATATTGCAGCATACTGTCTTCTTCTCAAGAGAGCATATAAAATACAAAGAACACAACTTAATATATAAAACCAAGTAACATTAAAATATGGAAAATAAAGTTGCACATGTGAATTTGAGCAGTGTTTTCCAATGAATGAATCCATGGAAAAAAGAAAAAATCCGCAATTTCTTATCACAATTAACTCCTTCCACTTACTTTTTTTCATAAAGGCTCATTAACATACACGTTTTGGTATAGTGGGGACTAACTGGTGTAAAAAATTCAGCACAATACCAACAAACTATTACACATCTAGGGATCATCAAAACAAGGAGAATTAAAACATGAACAAAGCAACCCAGCCCTCATGGAAGGCAAAAGACAGAGCTTGCAATAATACTGTCTGCACAAACCAACATACAAAAATGTGTGTGTGTGTGTGTGTGTGTGTGTGTGTGTGTGTGTGCGTGTGTGCGTGTGTGTGTGCGTGTGTGTGTGCGTGTGTGTGTGCATGTGTGTGTGCGTGTGCGTCTTTTAGATATTTTAAAATAGTTTTCACAAAAATGTAACCTCAGTTTCCTGACTAAAAATATTCCCATGTCTTCATGTAAATAGATACTCCCCAGCAGTTTCATTTTTTGTGTTCAGATGTTATTATTTTGAGTACCTTTTATGTTAAACACAAAATTGACAGTGAAAATAAAATATGAGATAAAATAAACCTTTATTATTATCAAAACAAACCCTGAAAATTTATATGATAACAGAGAAATTTACTTACCTTCTATCAACATTTTGGAAATGTATGAAATTAAAAGTAGAGGGAAAATATATTACAGAGAAAAAAATCAGGAACAGAGATCAAACGGGGATATTAGATTTATTTGCATAAGCTAGAAACAGCCTTTGGGTTACAAATATGTCCCAAACAAGAAATGGTCGCAAAATATTTAATTTCCAAAGGCACAAATAATTTTCATGTGCATGACCTAAGCTCTTCCAACACTTGTCATGCAAATTATCTATCACAATATGGACACACCCCCCCCCAAAAATACAACCTTTGCGGCTGTACACTTAATTATTTTCTATCACATCGGATAATTTCAGCTTTTCATATTACTTATATGAATCATTACACTTAGAGAACACCATAATTTATAATTCACAAAAATTGTCCGGGACCATTTACATAATGAATGGGACTATATGAGATAACCAAAAATTACATTAAATGTTTCAGGGCTGACTCAACTTTGCCTGATGTAGCATTAAAGAATTTAAGATAATCTCCAATCAATTTTACAAACACCTACTTCACCCATGGGCAGTTAGTAAACTTTGACCATTATACATGCAATGCCTTACAAACACTAACCTCATAATATTGGCATATTTCTTTCATATACTAAAGCATTCGGCTGAACATTTACTTAATAAAACATTTGTAATGGAACAGCTTCAGTGGAGGAATCCAAAACCTACGCTATAAAAAGGCAATTGCTCTCATGAAAATCAAGACAATAGTATTAAAGTTCTGTAATACCTTCAATAAAACACATGAGAATAAATTTGTAAGGAACTACCAAAACCACTATTTCCAAAAAAAAAAAATCTAAATAAATTTACTCAAAATCAAAGGCAGCAAGAATTACGCGCAATATCTTTCCCGGACTCCATATTTATATACCAGTATATACCACATTTTTATTTTGGATTACAGAAAAACCGATCCAAACAATCATAACAGCATTTCAGCATCTGAATACAAGTTCATGAAATGATAATACAATTAATAGTGTAGTTTAACAAAGACAAAACAAATTCATGCCAGTAAATTCTTTCAAAAACTTTTAAATATATCTATTAGCTCAACTTGCAAATGATCTTGGAACTCTGTTGGACTGGATGGTAAGCTAAAAAAAAAAAAAATGACTAGAGAACTTGCTCTGAAAGTATAATGTTACAAAAGCAAGGTTTAGAAACAATAATCGTGTCTTGTTATATTCGAGAGGTTCTAGGTATGGTAGATAATTCCCTGTCCTTGTGACTTATGCAGTATTTTTTAAAGTGTCAGTATTTAACAAGTGTACTTAGCACATAACCCCACAACCTTTACAAAAATTTAAATCCATAAATGGATTTTTAAAATATCCCAATAAATACAGTAGGCTCATACTTACAATTACAATTGCATATATCCCCAAAATAATGTGAACAGCTATCAAAACAAAACACATTAGAATGCCATGTATGTTCTGAACAAAACTTAATGCAATGGCGTGGGTTATGTACTATTCTACAGTAGTCTTTTTGCAAATTTGTGTACACAAATGGCTCCATAGGGCTAAACACCAAGAAGTCCAATTAGTAGGCCGTAGAGACCTAATATCCCCATTTCTAGAATTTCTGATTTCTTTTTATGCTATTAAACTCAATACTGTTATTATTTTCATGACATTCTGATGATCATATGTTCTTAAAATACTATAACCAATAAAAATAGTAAACTACCATAAAAGGAATCTTTAAAAATCATGGAAAAGTGTAACCAGGTGAGAGAGGTAGGACTACCCCGGACTCATTGGTGACGTAGCCACTTGTGGAGCCATTCTGTGATAACACAATTAATAGCTAAAATTACAGTGGCTATGGCACAGTAATCTATCGTCGTGTCCAATGGATTGAGCATTTAATTGGCAGGACAACAATTTCCTATAAGTTATGATCATCATTAGAATTCAATATGTTATTTTAATGATCAAGACAGTTGGCACAAAATGCTATTTAGCAATGTGAAAATAACCAAACATGCTTTAAAAAATATACAATACATATTTTCTTTATTTAGCCATACCATTGAAACACAATAAAAGGATATCTTGCAATAATGAGAATCATAATATGAAGCAACAGGCGATGGACCTCTTGGTTGAGCAATGTATATATAAAATGTCAGCTATGTATAAACCACTGATGTTTTGTTGTGGTAATAAGGAATAACTATCATAATAATAAATAATGAAACTAAAAACAGTAGAGATTAGCCAAAGCTGCACATACCCCCGCATACCATTATTTACTAAAAAAAAAACCCGCTGCATTAAAAAAAAAAAAATTGTTACTCACTTATAATATACCTAATTAATTCCACTTTGGGAACAAAATAATTCTCAAGCCAGTTTTGTCTTAAAAATAAATATCATAACAGGCAGACTGAGATCATAAACAGATGCCACTTAGAATAATATAATAATAAACAAGCAATTACAACCACTAAAAATATGTTGAAACAGCTAATAAAACAATAAAGAATAAGATTCTTAAGAAACAACTAATCCTTTATCTCATGATTCAAACAATAAGTACACCAATTCATAATGGAGAACAAAAGGTAAACTTCAAAAGCAATTAGCAGAGCAAGATAATAAAATAATCAAGCATAACAGGAAAGCCTTTTTCTAATATTAAATACAGGTTATGAAAATAATATATATATACTGCACTGAATGTGACGGTATCTACCAATTACATTCCGTCAAACATTGTATCATTTAAGAGATTATTCAAGAATGCATACTTCAGTGAATGAGACTGTTCTATTATGTGACACAGAGAAAAGCATGAAGATAAAAGGGAAGTAAACACAAGAAAAAATCAATAAATAAAAAGTAAGCAATGAAGGTGAATCATATGATAATTAAGTGGCCTACATCATGCAACCCCTGAACATTAATAAAACAGAAACCTTTAAACTCTTTGAAAGTTTAAAAGCATAGGCCCTACACATAATTTGAAATACCATGTACATAGCACTATACATGCCTGCATACATACATACATAATATACCATTCAACCAAATCGTATATATCTGTGTGTGTATAGGTATACATATGTTACATATGTACATGTGTGTTGTGTGTGTGTGTGCCTTGTTGTGTGTGTCGTGGGTGTCGTGTGTGGTGTGTGTGTGTGTGTGTGGTGTGGTGTGTGTGGTGTGTGTGTGTGTGTGTCTAGACATACATAAATACATACATACAACATACATGTATATATATATATATAAATATCATATAAATATACATATAATATACATAACATATACATATACATATACATATAATATACATATACATATTTTAAAAAAAAAAACATATATAACATATAAATCATATATACATATACATATATACTATATAACATATATACATATATACACACCCACTACCCATGTGTATGCCCACCCCAACACATTGGCACATGCACACACACCCATAAAAGCATACCAAACACAATACAATATGTATATATGGATGAGTTTTATATAAACTGACCTAAACCATTTTATTAAAAGATACTGACTGCACCATGATTTGTGCCGCAAAGCACCTAAATGGGAACACAATAAATCCCTAAGAGATGAGCAGAAAGCCTACACCGGGCAATAATAGCTATTCTTAAACCAATACAACAGAATAAGGATTTAAACTCAGTTGCTTTTCACAAGGAAATAATTACACTACAGCTATTGTCAGCTTGCTATTTGTTGTTTTTAGTAATAAAATAAGATATAAATACATAGGATATATATATAATGAAGTACAGTAGGAGAAACCTGATCTAAGACAAAAGATAGTAATATAATATCAGAAGAAATATGATTATTATCAAAGAACAGAGTTATATAATGAGCCATTTATTTTAAAACCAACTTAGAAAATCCTTTTTTAATATCTTGATATTCAATGACTTAAGCATTTTTATTATAAGAAATAGCTCCAATACATGGTTCCATCTCACTAACTGGAAAATATCAATAATATGGCTTCAAACTCATCTTTATATTTTACATGAAGGAGCAAATTATTTTGTTTTTAACTATTAAAATCAGCTTATTCCCTCAAACTGCCAGCTTGCATTTTAGGCTGCAGTTGCATATGGTCACAAATCAAAAGCTGTTTAAAAAAGTAAAACAAAGCAGCTCCACACCATATATACTAGTGTCTCATGACCAACACCATATCATGTCACCAAATATCCTCAGCAATGCCCTAAGACTTCGAGAAAAATATAACAAGATCACTTGACCATTTTCTTTATCACATAAACTATATCTAAAGCTAATGAAGAGTCTAGGTCTTCTGCTTTTCAATCACCAGTGGCACCAGGTACTTACTTTATCCATTACATTCTGTTCTGTATTGGCATATGCTATGGATGCTAATTCCTTGGTAAATTCTTCAATCACAATTAAAGCTTCAAATTTGCGGTCATCATCATCTCTTCTGTGAGGAGTAAAAATGAAGATGTGTTAATTCTTTACTGAAAGCAATCAGTAAAACATTTATTATTAAATAAAACTGCAACCCCAATATCTCATCCATATAAATTTAAGCAGCAAAGGTATTTAGGAATCATATTCTTAACCTGTTGGATCCGGATGATCCACTGCCATCATGTGGCCTAAAATACAAGACTTAGGCTTACTTTAATGGCCACCTTACACCTTATACCAAATAATCAGTATAATAAAGAAATACCTTTCATAACACCAAACACAGAAAAAGGGACTTACTCAAAATCAAACTCTTCCATAGTTCCAAGGAGCTGGTACCTGGTGACCTTCAAGTGATCAACATAATCCTCACGTTCTACTATCGGCTGATGGATCTTGGATACCACAGAAGACAACACAGTGCAGGGGGTTCTCACACCTTCCGACAGTGTTACCGTCGGGTTGAGGAGGTATTCGTGAAGGTGTGGGTGTGGAAGGAGAGCTAAGGTAGCCACTAATGAGGTCACTTGGAGATTGATGTCATAGTCCTGTTAGAATACAGTGTCATAAATAACTGTTCTGGAATGGAATTGTGACCTCTTTTATCATCAACATCATAAAAATTAGTTTTTCTTTAAAAGAAGATAAAAATGTGTTCAAATATAAAATATTTACAATAATAATATCATTTAAATTCATAAACCACTTTTAATTCTAGATGAAAAAATATTTTTCATACACTTTAACAGAATGGTTAAGGCTATGATATATAACATCAATATAATACCTTAAACACAAAAATATGTACTGGAGTTTGAGTATGAGTCTTCATTAATTTCAAAATATGTATCATTAATCTGTATACCATTACATTACTAATAATATCCACAACAACTTCAATATTTTAGAGAAGCTTAGATATGTAATCACTAATATGTTAACCCATTCCCAACGGGCATCTCACGTACATCCATGCATGTGTAGAGACATTTCACAAAAAATATAAAAAAAGAGAACAGCATTTTTCCAGTTTTTTATTAATTTTCCCCAGGGGCAAAGTGTTAACCCAAAATTGCCAAGTGGTGTTGTTTGAGTAATATTGTTTACAGACGGATGGCTTCACAAGCACTTACTAAGAAGTAAGTTTTCAGTCATTCCTGATTTTACCTATTTAGTATCATCATTATAACATTATCAATAATAACAACAGTAATGAAACTAAATTCTTTCAATAAAAAAAATCAAGGAAAGGGATAAATAGGTGAGTTGAGGTACACATAGTTATTAACGGTATCTCACGTAACTCTGCATTCATCTTCAAGTAAACAAAACCACACAGGACAGTGAATGGTAACTCGTGTCAACATGGTTATTAATTATATTCCTTCCAACATTTGTTTTCCAGGTTGCTATGTCCGTGTGCGTGTGCGTGTGCCCGAAATCATCACTTACTTGAATGAGTATGTTGACTCAGAAATTTTAACAAACAGATTCACATAACTTATTCATAATTGAATATAAAAGGGGAAAAGTGTATCTATTATGACCCAAAATACACCTACCTGATCAGGTAAGTGCTCCAGGAAGTCCATTAGCATGCGCAAGAGAGGACCCTCATAAAAGCTGCTCCCTTCTGCTTCAGGTCGAGATTCACGGGAAGCAGTGGAGGAGGAGTCAGATGGACACTCAGGTGTCACTGCCTCTCGTGGCCAGCCAAAGGAGACACAAGACTGAAAGGAATTAAATGCCTGAGTTAAAATGTGTTCTATAACTCCCAGGTCATCTTCCATGCTTATTTTCTTGTACATTGGCTTTCATAAAATTGCAACAATGATGCTTACTTATAAGACATTTCCCTTTAACAAATGAATTAAAGAGGAGTCAATCAATAAACTCCACCAGATTTTATAAATAATTTGGAGTATCATTAAATATCATCATGCACCCTATGATATGAAGCTTAATTGTCTTTGAAGTTAAGTTTTTTGTGTTATTGCCTCACTGTGTTTTTGTTTTCTTGGCTTGTAACTATAGATACTATCTGAACTTTCTTCTATTATTTTCTTGATCTCTGTGGATTTCTCATTTAAACAATAGTTAAGTATGTCACATAACCTTTGTAGAGCTGTTAGATAGTGTTAGGAGTAAATAGGAGTTGGCACAAATAGCATTCCCCTTTCATCTAATAAGCTGAAATCACTACTTTGATAAGTATTATGAATTTGATTGTCCTTCAGTACTAAATGTGTTCATTACACCAGTAATACTATTAGTTCAGTAGAGTATATTCACTTAATAGCATTACAGCCTCACACTCATAAGTCTTATGTCTTTAGTACTCAAGAAAGCATATATTTTTGATACCATCTTTTGTTTTTCTTCTTTCTATCCTTCTTCTTTAATATTTGAAAAGAAAACTGCATCTTAGAGGTTTGTAATGAACATGTTACTGGATAGATAACCTTAAATACAATTTTTTTTTAATAAAGGACATAAATTTATCCTTCCGTACATGACTTACCCGACACACATCTCTATACTGCCGTTCAGCATCTGCCATGTAGCTCTCAAAGTCATCTTTGTTGGTAGAGCGCAATTCTTCAGGTACAACCATCAAAACCTGAACATATAAGATGAAAACATAATTATTTTGAATGAAACACTAAAACCTAATCCAAGAACTTTACTGACAAAGGGCAACTGATTTTAGAAATGTATTATGTTGCATGAAGCATTATTCAGTTTTTTTTTCATCACTTCCCACCAAAAAGAAGTCAAGATGCACCAATAATAATGAACAAATTAAAAACAGTTACCTGCCAGGAAGCCATCCCTTCAACTTACATATAATATCATGTGCTTAATAGCTGTTAAGTCAGACTCATTGTAGAATGCATTAATAGTATTAGTAATTTTTTTCTGTTGGATCCAAAGATATTATGAAAACAAAAATGTAAATTCACTCTATCATAGTTCTTAAGGTTTAGAAAACATGTATTACAAATCCAAATGCCTTTAACAATCTTAACAAACCATTATTATGTGTTCTGTAAGGATCACAATGCCCAAAATACTCACCTTTTGACTATTTTGTTAATGTTAGTAGGAGCCAAAGTCCTACTGATGGGTACAGATCCTGGAGATGTCTCGCCTGTGTGTACACCATCAGTTTAATTATGTTTACACAACTATGGTTAGTTTCTGAAGAAGTTTCTGATGACAACAAGGCAATAAGAATGAAAATGTTACTTAATTATTTGTTGTAAGGAACTTGAAATTAAAACAGCTAATCATGTGTATATGTATACATATTTGAAAAGCTCAATTTGATGTAATCATCCCCTATTTTGTTATTAGCAAAGCTTGAATCTGATTCCTTCCAAAAATTATTATTTCTTTTTTTTTGTCTTTTCTAATCATCGCCTTGTATGTTAGTGCAAGTTACGAAAAGAACCACCAGCTCCTTTAAAATGTCTCAAAACTTTTACTTCTCAAGTTTTTTAAAAATTAAGCAACAACCTTCTAATCAAGCAGAATGCACCTAACCAATTCTCATTTTTTCTAAATATTAAAAAAATATATATTCATGGTACAAGAACCAGTAGAAGAACCATTTCCTCTTAGTTATCTACTTCTGAACAGCTGAATATAACATTTTGAACCAGACATTAAACAGAGACAATATAAGGTTAACTTTTTTTAAACAACTAGTTAAAAATACAAATGGGACTATATTTACCTATATTGCAATAAAAAAGTCCTATAATTAAAAGGAAAAGGAAAAAAATCTAATGTACCTTCTCTATGTTTGTATCTTTCATCTTCTTCATCTGACCATGAGCTTTGTTGGTGTTCAGCGGCAGAAGAGTCATGATAGCCTCGCGTCATGACATAGTTCAGCACCAAGGATTGTACTGCCATGCTGCCTGGTTTCTCTATCATAACCTGATCAAGAAAGTGTACAAGAAAACACACTTATTTGTTCCTTAGCATACCCAGGAGTCGAAAATGTTCCTGATACACAAACAGGGTTTTATATGCTAATTGCTTGTAGATGGTGTAACTAATTAAAATAAAATGGAGGTTTCACATTGATCTCTCTAATATTACCATTACAAATCAAATACTAATCAATATCATCCATCATATTCTTTGCCAAAAGATAATTTGGACTATATTCCATGCAATAATCAATTAATTATGAATTAAATCAATGCACCAACTATATTTTAATCTATTCATAAGATCATGATATACATAAATACATACATACATACCTATCTTTCTATATAATTTTCTCTAAATAATCAACCTTTTATTTATTTATATATATATATATATATATATATATATATATATATATATATATATATATATATATATATATATATATATATATATATATATCATTGCAAAGGGGAGGCATAGAGTGATGTCACAGCACATGTGTGTTTGTATGCGCCCAGCCTACAAGCCCTAAGCCCATCAGAGCAACCACTTACAAGAGCCTAATACCCATATTTTGGTTTATGTGATTGCCATGAAGCCTCCAGATTCAATGGATATAAATCATCAAGCTCATGAATACCAAGGTGCACCAAGAGAAAATATAGTTTGGATGCAATCAAATCAGAAATGATCAACTAACCTGCAGCAATCTGAGGGCCTGTATTTGTAAGTGGTGAGGGGGTTGCTGACACAGCTTCATCACATGGTGTCTCATGGCACATTCATCCCCTTCCAACTCCACACTATCTTCACTCAACCAAGATATTGTACCTTGTGGAATACATGATGTTAATATTCTAAAATTAATTACAGTAAAACAAATATTCCACTGAGCTTTCCACTCCAAGCAACTTTATTATGAAATCTACTAACTATTGTAAAAATTATCAAAAATACAAAATATTAAACATTGCATACATAAACAACATCCACATCATGATAAAACTAACTGTTAACAAGGAGTGGTGATGAAACAGAGGTGATGATCTTGGCTGTGATTGCCAGGTAAAGAGATACTGTATCCTCATCTTCATTATTTAGCATTCCACGTAGGACACCTTCTAAGAACACCTCTCTTATGGTACTGCAGATACTTGAACCTAAAAGTGCCATCGCATGCACCCACAAACTGTAAAAAAATAATATATATATATAATAATAATTTACATATTTCCATACAAATGATATATAAAAAAGTATTAGACAATGCCATTCATCCCCCATCAAAATACCTAAATACATTTAATTATACATTGCATCCCTCACCTTATCACAGAATGTTAGCCAATTTAAGAAGGCAATCACTTCTCTTCTCCCTGGGAATTCTCCCACATCATCTTCCTCTTCACTATCACTCCCTTCCAAGGCATCTCCTCTGGAACACAAAACATCTTTGTTGAACATACCTCTGATAATGACTGATAACACTGCCATAGTATGTTAAAACTGGAAAATTTGCATCAAGAGTTTCATCTAACAATATACTAAAATATGGACACATTTGTACATTTCAAAACTGCATATTCAGGCTAAACTTTAAATATATGTGTCCCATGCACCCCAACCCTGATAAACAACAACAAAAAAAAAAAAAATGACAAGAGAAAGTAGATGTTTGCTGACGTGCATGTGGCTTTAGAAAAAGACATGGATGTAGACCCATATATGGGTATGAATGTAGATGCAGGTCTTGGTGTGAATGTGGATGCAGATACTGGTGTGCATATGAATTTGCATGTAGATGTAGATACTGATGTGGGTGTAAATAAGGATGTGAATGTATAGAGATATGGGTGTAGGAATGAACAACAATGTGGAATGTGAAATGTGAATGTGAATGCAGATGTGAATATAGATGTAGGTGTGAATATTGATGAAGATGTGGATAAACATGTGACTGTTAATAGATATGGATATGGATCTGTATGTGGATGTGGATCAGGATATGGATGTGAATGTACATGTTAATGTAAATATAGATTTGGAACTGGATGATTAAGTGAAGGTGAATATGAATGCAAATTTTATTGTGAATTTGAATAAAGGTGTGGATGTGAATTTGATTCTAAATATAGATGGGAATGCAAGTACAAATGTCTATGTCAATGTCAATGTTAATGTTAATGCCAATGTCAATGTCTACATCATTGTTGATGTGGATGCCAGTGTGAAAAAATTAAATTAAATGTAGATGTGGATTTCACCTAACAAGCACATGATGTAGACAGTAAATGTGGAGACAAGCAAGGGTAAGAATGTAGATGTGGATGTGGAAATGGAAGTGAATGTAACTGTGGATGTGTATGGGAAAAATGGTCCAAGCATTCACAGCCTCTCAAATCATTATCAGGATTATGACACAGGATTAAATAATAATCTATTCTCTTTTGACCAGGCCTACATGCACTATCTATGGGAACTTGAGTAGCTAGTGCTAAGCTTTATATGCCCTTATCCTGCTTATTTTTTCATGGACAATGATCATATGTGATCATCTTTAAAATTTGCTATAAAATAGTGTACAGTTATAACATTAAAAAAAATTGAACCTAGCCTATGCTACAAAGTATTTGCAATCACTTATTAATACGAATTACAAATTATATGAAGAGATATTTATGTGTATTAGTATTCTAAGATACACTAAGCTTGAGGCATTTTCCTTCAATTTTCTTCCATAATCAAGTTTCTAGGTGTACATAAATATATCCCCTTCTATCAAAAGTTCAGCACATATAAATTACACTGAATAAAGATTATGCACTATCCTACATATTAAACAAACTTTCCCATCACACTAACTTGCTTTTCTCTGTTAGTGGAATGTCCTCTATCAAGGCTGGCTCTGTATCCTTGGGAATAGCATCAGATGCAGTAACCAGTCGTGATGCCAAGTAGTGAGGGAGGAGGGTATGTCTTGCTATTGTTGAACTACTGTGTCCTTGTCTAATACTGGCCACTGACACAAGGCAGTCATGAGCCATAGAGGAGATGCGAGAATCCTGGGGGATCAAAGACAAGAGATTAAAATGTGCTGGACAAAGTCACAGTATCACTATTTGTAATCATAAATCTGTACTAAATATATCATCAAATCATGAAGTTTGCTGTACTTACTGCACTATGACACATGTTCAATAGGGCATCAACAAGAGGAAATTTTGGCTGTGATTTCTGTCCAGCTGATGAATTTTGTTCGTCAGCAGATGTGCCATTTGCAACTTCATGAGTAGGGGTTGGAGGGAAGCTGTCATCTGGTGTGAATCCACTGGGGACTCCTCCAGTTATTGCTATTGGCTGAAGAGTAAAATTCAAAATGATATTACAAAAACCAAAGGGGAGATACTAAAGGGAAAAGAATGAAAGACAAGAGAAAGGAAGAAAATATAATTAGCAGTAGGTTTTCAAATTAATATGGAAAAAGCAAATGTACCTGAATGTACAAGAGGATGATACTACTATCCTGTCGAATTTTTTCACAAAGAGTTGACAGGAATTCCATCTCTTCATGCTCATAGGGTGATGCTCTCATTTCACAGCTAGCTTTTACCATCACCTGCAAAAATTAAAAATAGCAAACAAAAATAACTTCAGGAATAAAAATATCAAATGTTCATCATACACAATCTGCATAGACAGAAATTCACAATAAAAAGTGACAATGAAACTTTTACTGTACTGAAACAGGTACAGACTGAATGGATCCATATTACATGATGAGAACAGATTGTATTCTATAACATCTGTCCTCTAAGACATCTAAGCCTTTACTTACTATATACATCTATATTCACTATCCTGTATGTATAACAAATTAAATGGGTAATTCAACTTATTCAGCTATATTTCTATGCCACGGTCAGATAAGAGGAATAGATAACATTTTTGTCTGCATACCTGAAGTGGCTTGTGCACAGGGCCATATGCAGGTGGGAATGGTGGAGATGGTTCAGCACCCCAACCAGGAAAACATATGCATGCTGTCGGATCCCAAGAGGACGATCAGCCCTGGCGTGAGAGGCTAGGTGGCAAGCACTTTCTTCTCCTGTACAAGATATTCCATGCAGGGACTCAGTGGCCCACCCACACGTTGCCTCCCTCTCCTCAGCCACCAACATCTGGGAGTAGGAAAAGTATTTTGTAAAAATCATTTTGAAATTCTGGTACTTTCTTTTCTAACCCAATACCATCGAGGAAAATGAATAAAAATAGGGTAAATGCTGTGCTCATTTTTCATATTTTTTGTGAAATGTCTCTGCACATAGATGGCTCTGCTAGTACTTCGCCACAAAGTAGACCTTGTGACCTTAACTGATTTGAATTGGTGGGAAAAATGTATCTTTTACTGGTCCTATGAATATTGATAGTGTTATTTTTATTATAAACATTATAATTACTAAAATGTTATAAACATTAGTAACATATGTAAGATAACATAAAATATTTTCGTAAATCAAAGAAAAGGGTAAACAGGCAAGACAGGCAAGTACTCTTAAAAAACAATTACAAAGTAAACTCACAGTGGGCATAGCATACATGTGCATGTCATTTCCCGTCAGCATTGGGTTAAAAAACAAAAGAGACACTTCAATAATACAATGAAAGAAGATTGATGTGATATAAGAGACGATCTAAAATTATGAAAGAGAAAGATGCATAACAAAAAAAAGAAACTAATGAAATCATGAAATCCACATAATCTTACGAAAAGTCATACCCCATAAAACATATAGTAACTACCAACACCTCAGACAAAAAGCTGAAAGAGGACCTTTGAACCAACTTCAGTGCAGAAAATATTGCCAACAAAAGAACAAGAGACACTTGTGAGATACTACATCAATACAAAAAGTAAAAGGCAAAGTCTATTTCTTCATCTTGAGTATGTTCTTTGAGTTACCCCCTTCCTGCAGAATCAATACATCTTTTTGTACCTTGGACAGCTGGTCAAGTGTCTTGGGACGTGCGTCTCCTCGATGGCTGGGAGTCTGCCCTCGTGTGCTGACAATCTTTGGCAAATAATTATAGCTGCGTCCAGTGGTATAGCGCAGATCTTCGGACACGTGGACACGGTGGAGCAACCTAGGATACATATTCAAGTATATCATTACTCTAAAAACACAGCATATAATATCAATATCTGATTCGTATTGCATTATATGAAGAAAAAAAAAGAAACATTTCAATATCCTAGTTATATAAAAAAAAAAAAAAAGAGTTCACCTTACCCATTTAACTATAATAAAAAAAAAAAATCAGTCATTACATCATATACCCCAAACTTCATACCACATCAGCTGCAGCCTGCAGTGAGGTCTGATATCCTTGAAAAACATGGGACTGGGTCGTGATTCCTCTCCGGCTGGTGCGGACACAGTGTCTCATTCAACACGAACCCAAATATCTCAACACCGACATGAGCGCCTCTTCCACTGGAGCCATGTTGGCTTCTACACAAACTGTAGGGTCAGAAAGGAAATCAGTACAGTAGTATAGTGTGGGTGTGGGTGTGGGTGTGGGTGTGGGTGTGGGTGTGGGTGTGGGTGTGGGTGTGGGTGTGGGTGTGGGTGTGGGTGTGGGTGTGGGTGTGGGTGTGGGTGTGGGTGTGGGTGTGGGTGTGGGTGTGGGTGTGGGTGTGGGTGTGGGTGTGGGTGTGGGTGTGGGTGTGGGTGTGGGTGTGGGTGTGGGTGTGGGTGTGGGTGTGGGTGTGGGTGTGGGTGTGGGTGTGGGTGTGGGTGTGGGTGTGGGTGTGGGTGTGGGTGTGGGTGTGGGTGTGGGTGTGGGTGTGGGTGTGGGTGTGGGTGTGGGTGTGGGTGTGGGTGTGGGTGTGGGTGTGGGTGTGGGTGTGGGTGTGGGTGTGGGTGTGGGTGTGGGTGTGGGTGTGGGTGTGGGTGTGGGTGTGGGTGTGGGTGTGGGTGTGGGTGTGGGTGTGGGTGTGGGTGTGGGTGTGGGTGTGGGTGTGGGTGTGGGTGTGGGTGTGGGTGTGGGTGTGGGTGTGGGTGTGGGTGTGGGTGTGGGTGTGGGTGTGGGTGTGGGTGTGGGTGTGGGTGTGGGTGTGGGTGTGGGTGTGGGTGTGGGTGTGGGTGTGGGTGTGGGTGTGGGTGTGGGTGTGGGTGTGGGTGTGGGTGTGGGTGTGGGTGTGGGTGTGGGTGTGGGTGTGGGTGTGGGTGTGGGTGTGGGTGTGGGTGTGGGTGTGGGTGTGGGTGTGGGTGTGGGTGTGGGTGTGGGTGTGGGTGTGGGTGTGGGTGTGGGTGTGGGTGTGGGTGTGGGTGTGGGTGTGGGTGTGGGTGTGGGTGTGGGTGTGGGTGTGGGTGTGGGTGTGGGTGTGGGTGTGGGTGTGGGTGTGGGTGTGGGTGTGGGTGTGGGTGTGGGTGTGGG